TTCAAGGGTAACTGCCTCCTAAAAAGCATGCAACAATCAGCCATCTGGTAGGGTATGGTATGTGTGTTTTCTTTATTCACAGCAATATCCCCACCCCAATCTCCTTTAAGAATTACATGTTATGCGACATTATTACTGGTGGAAGAAGGCTTGAAAATGCAGGTATGCTGTGTCAATTAATGAATGATTCCTGACAGTTCTAGAAAAAGGCCTCAATTCACTAAATCTCAAAATTTTACAAATATGATGATGAAAGAAGAAAAAAAAAGATCTCATGGGAGGATCATTGGGATATAAAAAGATTAAAAATGACTTCTAATGAATATGGAGTTTTAGGAAAATGGGTAGACAATAAAAAATATATAAAATGTCCTCAGTTTTCAGTCTCTGATAATGGAAATAAGGAAAAATAAAAAGGACCCTAGGATTAAGTAACTTTCTAAATTAGTCAAATTTAATTGCCAGTCAATTTCTGATAGGATCACCTAACACAAAATCAGAGATGTCTGTTTTTGTAGGACGTGCCAAGAAGTTTTATCAGAAAATAGCATTATTTTTAAAATTACTATTACTTTATTTTTTTGTGGAAGTCATTGTCTTAGCTTAGAGATAAGCTATCCAACTCCATCTGAGATTTTATTTGGCTTAATGTTCTCAATCCTGGCTGCAAAATTAAAATAAGATGCATAACTTTTTAAAAATAGCAATGTCTAGATCCCACCTTGTAGTTTTGTTAAACTGTTCTTGGGCCCAAGTATTGATTTTATTGATTTATTTATGATGTATGCAGTGTTGGAGATTGAAGCCAGAGCATGTGCATGTAGATAAGTTTTCTACCACAGCTTCATTCCCAGCCCTTTTTATTTTTGAGAAAAGGTCTCACACTAAGTTGCCCTGGCTGCCTTGAACTTGTGATCCTCTTGCCTCAGCCTCCCAAGAAGCTGGGATTCCAGGTGTGGACCACTGTATCTAGATAATAGTTTGGGTTTTTTTGGGGGGTAGGGTACTGGAGAATGAATCCAGGGGTGCTTAAGCACTGAACCACATCCCCAGCCTTATTTTGTATTTTATTTGGAGACAGGGTCTCACTGAGTTACTTAGGGCTTCACCATAGTGCTGAGGCTGGCTTTGAACCCACATCTTCCTGCCTCAGCCTCCCAAGCTGCTGGGATTACAGGCATGTGCCACCATGCTCAGAAATAGTATTTTTTCTTCTTCTCCTTTTTTTTTTTTTAATATTACTAATACGGGACTAATTACCTAGAGTTGAAAACCATGAAGAAGCTAGGAGCCACCAGGCAATACTTCCTTAGCTGCATACCTCTGACCTCTATGAGAGAGGTTCTGTAAGAAACCAACGCTAAAAGCAGCAGCAACTATCTAGAGGCCTGGATGATGGCTGTTATGGTTTAAACATGTTAAATGCTCATGTGTTAAAGGCTCAGTCAGTCACCAGTTGCAAGTGACTGAATCTTTAGAAGGTGGAGCCTACTGGAATAAGTCGAGATAATTGGGGATGTGTCCTATAATGGGATATTGGGACTTCGCTCCCTTTCTGTCTCTATTTTCCAACTGCTATGAGATAAGCAGCCTCCTCCACTACATTCTCCTGCCACCACATATTCCACTTTACCAGAGGCCCAAAGCAATGGAGCCAAGCAATTGTAGACTGAAACCTCTGAAATTGTGAGCCAAAAAAATTCCTCCTTATAAGTTGATTACCTCATGTATTTTGAGTTTACAACAATGGAAGACTGAGTAACATAACACATTTCTCTGAAGTGATCACTGAGCTAACCTAAATGCCCTTTACCAAACAACCACAAAATTTTTAACAATGGCCATATTTTTATTATTTATTTATTTAGGTACCAGGGTTTGAATCTGGGGCATTTAACCACTAAGACACATCCCCAGCCTTTTTTTGTATTTTATTTTGAGACAGGGTCTTGCTAAGTTGCTCAGGACCTCTCCAAGTTGCCGAGGGTGGCTATGAACCTGTGATCCTCGTGCCTCAGCCTCCCGAGCCAGGGACTTTATCATTGAGTTACATCCCTAGCCTCATTCATTCATTCATTCATTCATTTATTGAGTTGCTCTGGACCTTGCTGAGCTGCTGAGGCTGGCTTGAATTTGTGATCCTCAGGTTTCAGCCTCTGGGGTTACTGGGATTACAGGCGTGACACACAACACCCAGCTGGGGGTCTGAGTCATATTCTAATACAGAGCAACACTATTTTCCCTAGGGGGTAAAGAAAGACTTCAGTAATGTCACAAGTTTCTTGCCCTTCCTTAATTAGTTTAGGGGAGGGAAGGAGCGCTCTTTCCAGGAATGAGTTTACTATTGAAGTCAAGAGAAAAAGGTGTCTTGAGATTTCCAGTAGCTATGGTTCAAACACCAAGCTCAAGTGGTTCATAGTGGTAACAGGTATTCTCCTTACTATGCTGAAGGTGGTTCAGGGACCAACAGCTTCTCCTGGGAACTTAGAAATACAGATTCCCTGGGCTGGGAATATAGCTCAGTTGGTAGAGAAGTGCTTGCCTTGCATTCACAAGGCCCTAGGGTACAATCCCCAGCATCACAAACAACAATAACAACAACAACAAAGAAATGCAGATTCCTGGGTCTTGCCTCAGACCAACTAAATCAGTAATCTTTCCTGTACAAGATTATCCAGAAGATATACACACATACACTCCTTCTCCCTAGTTTTGAGAAGTGCTGCTGTACGTCAAGAATGTTTTCAAGAAATGTCCCTGTCCGTATAGATTAAGAAACTTTGAAGATTACTTTCCTTTTATAATTAGATTATTTGCCCAACAACAATAAAAGCAGTTTTAAAGATGGCATAGTCCATTGCTGCCTTAGAAACTTATCTTCCACACAGTCAATTTTAGGCCTGCTTTGTGACACTCTTATAAAAAGAATCCTATTTCTCTTGAGTGAATATGAATTCAATCACACATAAGCAAAAGCAAAATATAAGTACTTTTTTTCTTATTTTGATTTCTGGGATAAATTATATACCAAAAGAAGCTAAAAAAATCCGTACTGTAAAAACTTTCTAGTGCTATAAACCAAGGATACCATTTTAAATCCTCAAGTCAGGAAAAGTTAAAATTTTGTTACCTAGCAATGACTACAAAATACTTATAGAAATCCAAATTGAAAAATCATCTTACTTCCCCCACACCAAAAAGAATATTCCTTACCAAAAAAAAAAAAAGGGCAGATTAAAAAGAAAAGAAAGAAAGAGAAAATGGAAAACAGCCCATGTGAACTTTGGCTAGTACAAGCCAAGCAACTTCTACTAGCTTTTCTACTTATAAGAATTCTAACACATAACTGAATATCCATGTAATATACAGAAGTAAAACTCATTGGTTTGGGGATTTGGGAAGAATTAATGCCAAGTCAAATGGAAATAATGTCTCTTTCTTTCTGTCCTAAAAGTGGATCAGGAAACAAAAAGTGTAGAATCCTCCACCCCTCAATGTCACTCTTAGTGTCAATGAGTCCACTATGCCATAAGCCACCAGAGAAAGTAGTAAGTAAAGGTTGTTAAGACATAAACTTGAGGAGGATGCAATATCAACCTGTGGTTGATGTGTCAAAAAAAAAAAAAAAAAAAGGAAGAACTACTTTTAATTTTATAAGGGATTCTTGGGAGTCTCCATGAATATTTAAATATTCATTTGTTCATCTTCTGGTTCTATAAGGAGGCTAAACAGCAATGTAGAATATAGAGGAAACCATTCTGCTTATATAATCAGTCAAGCCCACTTATTAAAGATAAGAATATGAAAAGCAAATGCTATATTCACAAGAAAATAAAATAACAGTGATCATTTGTGTCAATATAAGCTGAAGTCTATTGCTTGGCCAGTGTATAGATTCTGGAAGCAGTGACTTTCCATTAGTAAAATGCACAACCCAGAGAAATATGACTGTAACCCTATTTCCTCAGAGTCTTCTAGTCAAAAAACAATGCCACCTGTACTGGCTGGCATAAACCCCAGATACAATATTGCTCATAAAGTATAAGAGATGATACTGAGATATGTAGCAGAGAATGAGGTGTTTTGTTTATGTATCTCTGGGAACATAAACTTTTCATAAGTATGGTATTTATCTTCCAGGATGTGGGGAAGCAAATCAATTTATTGGGCATCTTTATAGCCATGGGTTGACAAACATTTCATTTCAAGTGTTTAGCTAAAAGAAACACTCTAATTCTTTCACAGTTAAATAACTTGTTTGCAGGGAGCCATGTGATGAGACCAGTTATTTTCCTGGTCTTCTCTCTATAAGAGTGAAGGTCACACTTAATATTTCTCATTCATCTTGTACAGCAACAAAAAAATAATTCTGGTTCCTATTAATGGCACATATTCACAGATACTCTAGACTTTGGAGCCTTTTAGAATCCTGGAAGCTAATTAAATTGGAAGTATAATAAGGAAGAAGAGGTGGGGAAGAAGGGAATAAATAACCAATCAAGCAGTTCTTCCCAACTGTAATACAGGTACTACCTTTTATATAAAAATGGCTCATGGCTGCCGCAAAACTTTTCAGAATTGGACAAGGCATAAGCCAATAAAAAATTTAAAAGGTAGAGAGACTTGAAAACCTCAAAACAAGATGATCTTTATGAGGCCACTTTAATGCTTATTCAGGTCAAAAGAAGTATTTACAGGGTCAATCCAGAGTTAAGAAGCAGGAACAATAATATACTCCAGAAAGGATATTAAGATTGCTGAACAACAAGATTCTATTTAGGGGCAAGATAATAGAATAATCCTGTAAACTTGCAGACATGCCTAGTACCAATGATGAACAGTATTGTAATTAACCTAAAGACAAATAATCCTGTCCTTTATCAAAGGACATTACTGCTCATTATGGAAAGGTCTAGTTCTAAAAAGCTAAGTAAAAATAAAAAGCTCTAACATAATAAGAACTAAAAATAACCAAAGAATGGGAGAAGAGAGATACTTACCAGACTATCAAGTCCTCCTCCCAAGAGATCGACTGCTCCCATCTGCATGGAGGACACCTGTGGCACATTGACTGGGGGTCCAAGGTCAAGATTTAAAAGATCCCCTAGAAGGTCTCCTTGAGAAGGGATAACCTGAGGCTGTTCCAGGTTAGTCGCAGTGGTGGTGCCAACAGGGCTGTCACCTGCGTCAGTGCTGCAGTTACATATACACAGAGAAAAGAGAAAAATCAGTTTCATATAGGACATAACAAGGCAGCAAGGGAATATCAGATTTACAACTATAAAACATTTTAAAATTCAATTAGAGGGCTACAGATGTAGCTCAGTGGTAGAGGTCCTAGGTTTGTCATCCCCAGCACCAGAAAAAAGAAATAAAAATTCAATTAAAATATTGAATTAAATATTTTTCTTTAAAAAAATATAAAAAAGCCTAGGTTAAGTTTTGACACACTTGAACATAGAAGCCAAAGGAGAATGAAAAATCAAAGTGCAGAGAATAAACAAACAAAAACTAAGAAGAAAAAGACCAGTAAAGCTCCTGATATTACTGGGGAATCTGGAAGGATGATAAAAATAATAAGATGCTAAGGAATTAAATTTTGTTTTGCCTGTGTTTGGTGTTGGGAATTGAAATTAGGGCCTTGTGCATGCTAAACATGTACTCTACTACTAAGCTAAATGGATAGGCCCAAGACCCTCAGTTCTTAATTCCTTTAGTTGTTTCAAGTAAGCAAAATGAGTAGAGAAGTCCAACAGGCAGCTAATGACAAGGGACTGGCAGTGAGAGACAAAAAATTTGGGAAAAATTCATGTACATATCTTAGGTGAAATCACCAGAGGAAGGTGTGTGGTAATAAGAGCAAGGGATCAAGAATCAGAAGACTAAGATCAAGTATTGACTCTACAATTGCAAGTTACACAATTTTGGACAGGTGACAACTTGAGACAAAGTTTCCTCATGGATAAAATTATAACAATATCATCCAAACACAGGGCTTTATTTTAGAGCAAGGATCAAATAAAAATATTATGTAAGTGGTACAGTCTTGTATCAGTAGTAGATATGGTTGGTAGGTAATTTCCCTAAGGGAATACAAAGATAGACATGGAAAAAAAGAGTGTTCAGACTGAGCCTTTTGATACAATCAAAATTAATGGTCACAGAAGAGAATGAAATAAACTGAAGATTAAAGAGAAAAATGATCTAAGAAAGATAATTAGAAGGAAATAAGTATCAAGGAAGCCACAGTGAGAAAGGACCAAATAAAAGAAAGCAGTCAAAGGGGGAAGTACTTTCATATACACCTGGCAAGAAATATATGAAATCTTCATAGATTATTCTCTACACATGAAATTACGTCATCTATGATCTGTGCCACTAGGAAAGTAACAAAATATATGATTTATTTGTAATTCAAAGAAGATGGTAGAATTGGTAGTTATGCACATTTTTTTCACTGTAATGGAAGTAGGAGTAATATGACAAGAAAAAGTGAGTTAGAGGACAGAGGTAAATGATCCTGTAGATTCATAATAAATATTAAAGAACATGACAAATCATTAGTATACATTCTTATTAAAAAGAAAATTAATAGTGTTTCCCATTGTGAACTTATGGGAAATAACTGCATAAATTGCACCAGAGCAATATTTTTAAAAAGTGAGGATTTTTCTAAGTTAGACAAGTTATTTACCACCTCACCTCCATAGAGCAGCCGGTATAATATGTGAGCATATTAAGAGAACACATCTCCTTCTCCCAAGTGACTTTAAAAGATACAGTGAAATAAGCATTTTTAAACCTTTTATAAGAGGTAGAAAAGCTTTTAAGTGCAGCTTTATTTCATATCAAAGTGTATACATATTAACATTATACTGCAGAAGAGAGCTAAGTAATGTGTCACTTGCAGCAAAGCATCGTCCTCATTTGTATGAAAAGGTATTTTTCCTATATTTGTATATCCTTTAAAAACAAAAAGCAGGAATGGTTATTAATCAGATAATGATATTATGTATGAATTTGTGTTTCTTTTAGATAGTTTACAAAATAATTCTTTCCTTGTGTTCAGAAAGAGTTGTTTCTGTTTGTTGATCTGCTTCATTTCCTCCTCCTATTTATGGGTCAAAAGTTATGAGGAGAAGGCTAGATTAAATGGCATATAAATACAGTTACATAGGCAAGTTAAAATAGAAAATCCACATCTATATAAAAACTTGAAGCACAGGCCAGGAGAAATACTAGGATAGAATACTAGAGATACTAAAAACACAGTCATATTTAGAGAATATTGCACATGCTTGCCTACAAGAAGAAATACCCTAATCTGTTCTAAGGACTAATCTTCATGAATCCACACATCTCCTTTGGGTTAAAATCATAGCACTACCCTAAAACCAAAGACTCAGTTCAACTAACAGCAAAGACTAAAGTTATATTTTTTTAAAATTATCACTTTCTTGAGTGTTGCCACTTTCTTTTTCTTTTTCTCTGTGCCAACAGTCTGGTAAGACAGAGGTCAAAATGCTGACTTACACTAATTTGTAAAGAAATAAATTCTATGCTTTTGGTGACTCATGAACTACTTAAATAGAAACACACATTAAACAATGGTATAACACGTTCATTAATGGAAACCCAGTTATTCTAACTACTCTGGGAGCAAAATTATCTTTTTTGTGTGTGTAAATTGAACCTGGAGCTTTACACATAGGCAAGCACTCTACCACTGAACTATATCCTCAGTCCTTCTGGGAGCAAATTCTACTTAGTTTTAAGATTTATTATGATTGATAAAGAAATTAGATTCTAAAGTTTCTAAAATCTCATTATAAGGACTAAAAAGTATTTCCCCTCCTTAATTAAAATTTGAAGGTAGCTACAAAACAGGAGCTCCATGTTACCTGAAAGCCTATTCATAATAATTTCCTTACTGATGATCAACTTAATTTGGCAAAAAAGGGGCACAACTAACTAAAAAAACTATGTCCAATTAAAACTATATAAAATTTGGGCTGGGGGCTGGTGTTGTGGCTCAGTGGTAGAGCGCTCGTCTCGCCATGCGTGAGGCACTGGGTTCAATCCTCAGCACTGCATAAATAGATAAAATAAAGGTATTGTGCCCATCTATAACTTAAAAAAAAATAAAATAAAATTTGGGCTGTTTATATAAGATAATTCTGTAAATACTATTTTATTAGTAGGTTTATAGTGTAAGAGAAGCAGTATCTACAACTTTATCGATCAGCTTCAACCAAAGCTACAGTAAGAGATAGAGATAGCTAATGTATGAAGAGGCTTTTTGCTAAGTTTTCAACTCTGGGAATATTTCTAGCCTCATCTTACTGAAGACTCAGGCAACTTTCAGACTTCATCAATTTAGAAGGACTTCTCCACCATAATCTTCTAAATATTATTATACACCTAGATTGGAATACAGAGGGACTTCCTAGGGCAGTATAGTAGCAGGTTTGAAAAATGCATAGCAAGTTCTTATCTAGGCTATAAAAGCAAGAGGAAGAGCAGTCTGTCTAAATAGATACTTCTCACTCATATTTGGTTCACCTACTTACCTTCCATGATGAATTGGCAAGTGCTTGCGATGGATCCCATGACTCCCTTCCACAAAAGCATTGGGAGGCTTATGGTACACAGAGGCCAAAGAACCAATGTGGCAGATTAGTTCATCCAGCAGAGTTGGCTCAATAAGGTCCGTTTCCTCAGAGATCAGTGGCTTCTCAGACAAGACTACTTCTTTGGCTGTCACAGGATCAGTTGAGAGAAGGCGCCAATAAATATAGCCCCGATCTCGAAGGTCAGGATTATCAGAATCCTAATTAAAAGGCAAGTACAAAAAGGTTTAGATGGAACTGTTCATATAGAAACCCAAACTTCTGGATTATCAAGGCAATGCTGTAGTGATTTATGCAAACTAGCTATTAAGGAGGTGTTCCACTGAGACTCAGTATAATTTTTACACAGTCATAATCCTATAATTTCTAATGTTTCAAGAAATTTAAATATAATTTGAAATGGGTTAATCCTAAAGTTTGAAACTGAAGGGAAACTGGGAAGAAGAAAACAAAGTTTAATCTGGTAAAACTGAACTGGTTGAGATGGCCTTGAGACAATAACTTCTTAAAAACCACTATAAATACTAGCAGGACTATTCATAACACACAACTTACATATATTTCACCCAAACATTCTTTCTTCACTTAAATATGTATAAACTTCTCCTTTGCAGACATTGGCTAAGTAATAGAAATGAAATACCACACATAGTACCTGACTTCAAGGAACTCACAGAAAAACTAACTATTAATATAGTGTGAAAGGTACTACTATCAAAATAATCAAAACAACATTAAAGACAGCATGTAGTACTAAGGGTTTTCAAAAGGGATGGCACTTGAATTTAATGGTTTTTCATTGTTATAGCGGTTTTAAAATAATTTTATATTTATGCTCATGGCTAAAAAATTTACCAACTCCATACTACAATTTAGAATTGTATAATATAAAAAAGAAACCTCCCCCAATTATCCAAACCTCTCCCTCAATTTCCTATTCCCCAGATAGCCTTAATTAGTAATAATGCTATATATTTTTTCCAGACAGCTCACCCACACCCATTTATTTTATAATAACCATTTCATATTTTATAAGGTTCGGTAAGTTGCTCTCTGTATTGACACATAGAAGTGCAGTTTCCTACTGTATATATATCTATGCATCATTTTGACTAATTCCCTATTGATAGACATTTAAATTGTTGTCCCTTTCTCCTCTGCTTTCTTACTTTATATGCACTGTTATGATCACTACAAAGTAGCAATAAATATCCAGGTATCTACCTCTTAGGGTATGTCCATATAGCAGCAATATGAAATTGTTCAAATGGCATATTATTAAAAACAACAATAAATCCATTTCATTTCTGCATTTAAAACTCACACATATAAATTTCTTTAAAAAAGGTCAATATGAGGGATTCCACATGAGTTCTAAGTGAGCAGATAAATTGATTCATGATTTAGCTACTTAAGGACACTTGTCAATATGAACAACCACTCTGATGGGTGTTTTCCCACTCCTCCATCACATAGAGGATTTTTGGTTACTATTAAAATCTGAATTTGAAAAGATTTTTGGGTTGTAGGTTCATATGCATCATCTCATTTGACTTTTGCACTTTTCTCAGCCCCAGCAGTCTTTCCATGAAGTTCCTTGAGTTTTCCTAGTACAAACAGATTTCAGCATTTTTACTTTTTCAAACCATGATGAGGCTAAACAGATCGGCAGGCTTTTTTTTTTTCCAATGTTGTCTAGAATTAATTTATTCATTACTTTTTTTTTTTTTTTAACTTGTCTACAGCTCTTGGGTCATGACTTCCATCATCACCTTCTTGGTTTGGTAGAAAAGTGGTGCAGAGTGTCTGTCTTCCATATTTGATTGCTATAGTTTTTTTTTTTTTTAAATAAAACACACACAGAACAAAGCAAACAACTATCAGTAGTCTTCACATCAACATGAACTTAAATTCTTTTATGCCATGTTTTGAAAATGAAAGACATTGTCACAGTATGATCCATGCCATGAAAGTAAGGCACTTTTTACCCTGAACACCCTTAGTAATTAGTACTTAGTAATCAATAAATGGGCCAAGGAACTGAACAGACACTTCTCAGAATATACATTCGATCAACAAATATATGAAAAAATGTTCAACATCTCTAGTAATTAGAGAAATACAAATCAAAACTACTCTAAGATTTCATCTCACTCCAGCCAGAATGGCAGTTATTAAGAATACAAACAAATAAGTGTTGGCGAGGATGTGGGGAAAAAGGCACACTCATATATTGCTGGTGGGATTGCAAACTGGTGCAGCCAATATGGAAAGCAGTATGGAGAATCCTTGGAAAACTGGGAATGGAACCACCATTTTTTTTTTTAAGAGAGAGAGAGAATTTTAATATTTATTTTTTATTTTTTGGCGGACACAACATCTTTGTTTGTATGTGGTGCTGAGGATGGAACCAGGGCCACACACATGCCAGGCAAGCACGCTACCGCTTGAGCCACATCCCCAGCCCTGGAACCACTATTTGACCCAGCTATTCCACTCTTCGGTCTATACCCAAAGAACATAAAAACAGCATACTATGGGGACATAGCCACATCGATGTTTATAGCAACACAATTCACAATAGCTAAACTGTGGAGCTAACCTAGATGCCCTTCAGTAGATGAATGGATAAAGAAAATGTGGTATATACATATATACACAATAGAATATTATTCAGCATTAAAAGAGAATAAAATCATGGCATTTGCAGGTAAATGGATGGAGTTGGAGAATATAATGCTAAGTGAAATTAGCCAGTCCCCAAAAACCAAATGCTTTCTCTGATTTAAAGATGCTGATTTATAATGTGGTTGGAGGGGGCATGGGAGGATTAGATGAACTCTAGATAGGGCAAAGGGGAAAAGGAGAGGGAAAGGAAGAGAGGGGGCACGGGGATAGAAAACATGGTGGAATGAGATGGACATCATTACCCTAAGTACGTGCACAAAGACACGAATGATGTGACTCTACTTTGGGTACAAGCAGAGATATGAAAAATTATGTTCTATATGTGTAATATGAATCATAATGCATTCTGCTGTCATATAGAACAAATTAAAATTTTTAAAAATGAAGAAAAAAACACACACAGAACAAAGCAAATAACTATCAGTCGTCTTCACATCAACATGAACTTCAATTCTTTTATGCCATTTTTTGAAAATGTAAAGATATTAAAGTCACAGTATGATCCATGCCATGAAAGTCAGGCACTTTTACCCTGAACATCTTTAGTAATTAGCTGAAATTTTCTAAATGCAATTTCATCCTGAAGATAAACAAGGTTTCATTCAAACACATGACTCTTTAGGCCAGGAAATGCAACTTTGGTTCTTGAGTCTTTGTGATTAGTGTTTTCCCAGTATTTCTTATACTGAACATAGCAAACAGTATCACAACAATCTATCTTAGAAAATGATAAATCACTTTATTCTTGGTTCCTGTTTGCTGCCTTGTGTAAGGCACTTGTTCTTGACCAACTTTCATGGTGCTATACGGAATCTCAAAAAGATCCCTGGTGGTTTTGACTACACAGTTTCAAATTATTTTTCTCAGTTGTATATGGTATAATTTGTACTCAGAATGAGTGTTAAAGACAAAAAAACAAAGAATATTGTGATACAGAAAATTAATAAAGCATTAAAATGGCAAATTTTATCTCAAAAAAATCTATCACATTCATAGGTTGCATTATTCTAACAGAAATGTTTATCATATGTAAAGGAAAAAAGTATATATAATCATATCAAAATTTCTCTAGTATTTGAAATGCCAGGGTTAAAAAATAGGAAAGAATGATAAATCAGATGCAATTTAAATAATTTTAGTATATTTTAATTTTTTTAGGAATAATTTGCTCCTAAGGAAGTATTTATAAATAATAACCTGAAACTTCCTCACTTAGACCTCTATTTGGAAAGAAAATTTGAACATTATATGAAAAGAGTGAATTTACTCAATCATATCCTGAAAGAGTAAAGTGGCAGAAATAGAATCTTACCACCCAATTCAAATTAACACAATTCAGTGGACTATACTATGCTTAAGTTAATACTCACCAGCTATAAATATTAGGTTATTATTTTATAAACTTGAGAAAAAGAAAAAACTTTCAGTGGAAAAGGCTTTCATAAATATACTTAATTACTTTTATGACAATTCCTCAGATATCATTAATTAACTGGAAAGAAAAGGCAAGCCTAGAGAAAGTGCTTTTATGTATAATCAAACATAAAATGATCATACACAAATACCTTAAAACTAATAAAATGCACTTATACATACTGACTTATATGCAATAGTACTTCAGGCAGAAATTATGTATTCTCAAAATAATTCTTAATCTTCAGACTAGAGGCGCAGGATAGCATAGTAGATAAGGACATGGACCCTCGCGACATACCAACTGGGCTTAGGTCTCTCAGTGTTTCAGTTTTGACATCTACAAAACAGGAACAATAACAGCACTAGCTGTTATTAGTATTAAGTAAGTTAATATGTAAAGTGCTTTAAAAGAATGCCTGAAACATTGTAAGCACTATACAAGTGGCTGTTACTAAGATTTTATACTAATCCCTAATAAGTCTAAAATCAGGAATAGTTTGTTTACACCCTGCCCTGTCCCAGGAAAGCATTTTAACAAACCTTACAAAAATGAATCTAAGGCTAAAGACTACAAGTTAAAACTAGAGGCAGAAAAATGCACACTACAATAACCTGAATACTTTCCATGTTCTCTAAGGTACTGAATAACCAATGTGACGAAAAAAGAAAAAAAAAAAAAAAAACTTGATCACTCAGGTAAGGCATTTTGAGGAGTAGTCAATTACATATCAATGCACCAGAAAATCCTAAACTTGTTAAAAATTTGATGGGGTATCATAAGGAAGAAAATATAATAAAATAAACAACAACTCTAATAGGATAGTTTCTCGTGATAATCATTACTGGTTGATAGTGCCACTGTGATTCAATAAAAGCAATGCTGTTAGTGCTAAAATATAACAAGTTCAGATACCCAGCTTTCTGTTAATCCGGCTTGGTTCACAGATGAATTTCACACTATCTGTAAGAACAGAAGGATCTTGAATCCTTCTCACTCAAATTTTTATAAATACCGATACATAATGACATTGAGTTTGAACTGACAAGAAACCAAAACACAGCTCTTCCAGGCTGCCTGCTAAATACAAACACATAGGCTTTAACAGACAATGAAGATGGAGAGTGAGTTGAGAATTTATAAAAACAGAGGCAACAACCAAGACACTTTCTTGATTATTTACAGGTGAGCAGAGAGGGAGAGCAAGGTCAAAATTCCTTTTGGAAATTGTTTTGACAGAATGTGAATTGCTCCAATTCTGTCATTCTACATAAGGACTTGAAGGTTTAAAATTAAACATAAAACAGAGTGCACAAAAAAAGATAGAAAAAAGGAAATTGTTTTGAATTCATCTTAAGAAATACAAATAACCTCAGAGTTATTAATCAAGGATCTAGACACAGAAGTCTACAATGTTCAGTTTGATTCAGATAAGATTTCAAAGTGCTCTTACAAATAAATTTTTAAAATGTATAAAATTAGCAACAGGAAAAAATGACAGCTGAGAACTAAACAAAGCCGTATACAGGACTTTAAGTTTTAATAATATATACCATTTGTAAAGAGAAGGAGAAAAATGGTAAATTAAAAATCTGAATTGATTCCATGTGCACACATCTTAATTCTGACAGCCAATCTGTTCTCAAATTCAATTAAGAAAATCACTAAATCATTATGGACTGAAAATCATTATACTAGTTACACTAGAAAAAGTAATTATTTTGATTTCCATTGATCCAAAATGGTCACCTGGTCTTTAAGATCAGTGGCCACATTTCTGAAATTATAATCCATCTGAACTTCTTTTCTTCAACAAAAATGTCATGTAATTCCAAAGAGGGCCAAAAATATCTAAAAATTCAAGGAAGCAGCAGAAGCACTTTAAAATTATTTCCAAGAGAAAGGCAATCCATATGTGAGACTTTACTGAGGTATATGCCTTGTCTGCACAGTATTTTTTTTTTGAGAGAGAGAGAGAGAGAGAGAGAGAGAGAGAGAGAGAGAGAGAATTTTTTAATATTTATTTTTTAGTTTTCGGTGGACACAACATCTTTATTTTTATAAAGCGCCCCGCACATGCCAGGCAAGCGTGCTACCGCTTGAGCCACATCCCCAGCCAGCCCATCTGCACAGTATTTTATTTGAAAACCAAAGTCACAAAGGAGAGGGTACCATCAAGACTTGATATTGTTTCCACATAAATATATTCACCATTAACCTACAGAATTAAGTTCAATTTTCATAAATTATCATGAAAACTACAGCCAGTCAACTTATTTAAAAGCTATACCAACCAGCGTGGAATATATTAAGAGAAACTGTTTTAATAATACTAATTTAGTAAAATGTAAATAAATACCATACTTTTTGAAAACTTCCCTAAAATAACCTTCTTGGGAAGAGTTTCATAATTTCCTACACTTTAAAATAAGACAAAACAACCCCTCCCATTTTTCAGATTTCTTACCTGTGTTGCCAAACTCAAGACCTGTTGGACTAACTCCTGTGTTTCTGATGGCTTCTTGAGAAAAAGCTTCACTATGGCAGTAAGCAGAGTGAGCTGCACCTAAACAAATAAAATTAGATAAAGTGAATGGCACTATATGATTCCTGGCATCATCTCTATGAATTACTTATGGAGTCTGTTTGATTTTTGGTTAAGAGACGAAAGTTAAAACTCAATCAGTATCAATAACAGCAATCAAAGTTATTCTTCTGAAATACAAGGGTATTTAATTGAAAACTCACTAGGATCCTATCCTAAAATTGCATTTTTGGCATAAAAAAATGGCTTATTTCTGGGCCAGGTTATCTCCTATATTTTTTAAAGTACATGCTAACAGGCTAGCAGCATAAAACTGGTTCCTGACCAAGTCTTACCTCATTTCTTTCTACCTAAAGCTAAAAGTTTGAAGGGATGATGAAACTACTTGTCAGATAAGGCAAGAGTCAAGACTGTGCAATCCTATCAGATCTCAGTCAATTAGAAGTGGACTGGTGGGCTAGGGTAGCTCAGTAGTAGAGTGCTTACCTAACATGCATGAGGTCTTGGATTCAATCTCTGACACCACACACACACACAAAAAAGTGGACTGTTGAACCACAAAGCTACTGGCTTGTATGTGTTCCCTGCATTAAGCCTGTTACTACAATGGGCCAGATGCCTATAATCCCAGTGTCTGGGGAGGCTGGGGCAGGAGGATCTAAAGTTCGAAGCCAGCCTCAGCAACTTAGCAAGGCAAGAATTTAGTAAAATCCTGTCTCAAAATAAAGAAATGTAACTCAATGATAAAGCTATAATAAAATAAATAACATTACTATAATGGATTATACACATGAACTTCTATTTACTATGAGTACAAACGCCAGGGAGAAAGAACTTACTAATCTGTCTACTTCTCTAGGCCTAAGCCTTAATTTTTTGTAGGGAAGAGAGACAGAAGATGGGAAGGAGACTAATCCATAAAAGAATCTTTTCAAACTTTACCAAAGTCCCACATGAAAATCTCTGCTGTAATGAACCAAGGCCACTACTAACAGGAATGTGTACTCACCCTTATGTGAAAGAAAATAAAAAGCTGATTACTGTCAAGTACAGTTCTGGACTAACAATAGCAGCAGCACTAACAATCTGAATCTTGTACGAAATGCAAACGGTAAAGCACATCTCAGACCTACTGAGTCAGACTCTGGGGGTGAGGCCCAGCAACCTGTATTTAAAAAAGCACTCCAGGTGTTTCTATTGCTTAGTTTGAAAACCATGGGTCTGAGTTATGTAAGTTTATTACACTAGAAATCAGTACAACTGGAAAAGGATCATCCCTTTGCGGATAAAAATGAACATACTATATTACACAGAGAGGGAGGGAGAGAAAGGGGGGGGGGGGGGGAGGGAGAGAGAGAGAGAGAGAGAGAGAGAGAAACTGCTTATCTTTTACTTTCTCTGATCTTTCCAAAGAGATCTAGGACACAGGACAGCTGAGGACTTACTTGGGTACTTTCATCATGAAAACCCTCCAGAAAGCTCTCTAGTAACTCATCTGCATTGTCAATTCTTTCAGCATACTCTCCCACAATCCATATCATAGCTGCTCGAGCATCTGGCTCATCCAGTGAGTCTAAGTTTTCACAGAGAGTGGCAATGATACTTTCATACCTAATACAACAAAATGGACTATGGTTACCAAGGACAAAACTCAGAACTGCATTTAATAGTGAAGGATAAAGGCAAAACCATGGAAGAAGGACCCTAAACCAAGCCACTGAATTATAAAAATTTTTATTTGAAAGAACATAAGAACTTTAAGTCAAATGATCATAAATGCCTTAAATTTCCTATTATGCTTTTCTTTGTTGCAGGGAGTGGGGGGATAATGGGGATTGAACTTAGGGGGACACAATCACTGAGCCACATCCCCAGTCCTATTTTGTATTTATTTAGAGACAGGATCTCACTGAGTTGCTTAGCGCCTCGCCATTGCTGAGGCTGGCTTTGAACTCTTGATCCTCCTGTCTCAGCCTCCCGAGCCGCTGGGATTACAGGCGTGCGCCACCGCGCCTGGCTCCTATTGTTTTAATAACTAGACCTTAATAAAAACTCATCAGATATTCTTTTCAGAAAGAAAAATTAACATGTGGTGTAAGACAATAGTACTATCTTGTGTTTCTAACAATCTTTTTTACTACTAGACCAGAAAATTTTCCTCTATACTATTATTGCCTTCATGGTAGGAAGAAATAAAAACCCCACTTTATTTTGTTTTTCTCTCCAAAACACACACACACACACACACACACACTAATGACTTGGTTTTCCAAAGAAACAAGTAATTCAAATACTTATATTTTGTTTTAGAGGTCTAAGGCACCTATATTTATCATGCTGAATCCATCTCCTTCACTAATATAATTTTAAACATCAAGATAACACCATATAATAAATTACATTGGACAACTGAATAATACACTTGTCAGCCCTACTTCTACCGATCAAACGATGCTCTTGACTATTTTTTAGAAGTAAAATACTATCATAATCACTTATTAAGACAAATCAGACACACTTCTCTATCAATCATTAAGATATACAACCCCCACTCTTACTCTAAAAAGTTTAAAAATCTGACCCTCCTTTTTTTCTGGGAGAATGGCAAAAATCTATGATGTTCTTTCCAAAAATTTCTAAAGCTAAGAAAATTATAATACACACACACACACACACACACACACACACACACTGCTTAAAAGCCATTCCCATGTCAAACTATTTCCACTAATTCTTAAGCATATCACTAGGCAGAAGCTTATGTTCAGGTATGCCTATGGTTGTAAGGCAAAATGAGATTTAGGATGCTCAGAAGAGCTGCTCTTATTTCATTCATATTTTTTAGTTGCTATCTTTTAGAATTAATCCCAAAAGGGAATTTTTGTCCATAAACCAAAACCCCTCAATCTGCAATTTGTGAAGCAAAAACAGATTTTGCTTATCTGTATGAGAGTAGCTATGACATTTCAGAAAAGGTCTGAAACTGGTAATTTACTATTATATGCTCTATAATTTCCCATGAAGTAATAGGTACCATGTAAGATGAAGAGTATAGCTATTACCTTCCTCGCTTTTATGGTAGGGTGACCATAAGTTTTTATCACTCAAACTGAGACATTTCTGAGGAAAAAGTACACAATCATAATTATGGCTGGGTAACGGGATTAAACTAAGGGCATGCCCAAACAACATACAGTTTTCCTACTTAGTGATTCTGATATGCTAACTTTAATCTATGCCAAAGACACTGTGTGTTAAGGTAGGGCATCATTTCTTCTAAACATAGTAAAGCAGAGTGAAACTCAGGTTTCAGTCCCTGTACTAACCATTTTTTTTATATTTACAGTTTTTAATAAAGTATCCTAGTGTGGTAAGTTACATTAAAAAGAGAATTTTCCTGTGTTGCTGGGGGAGGGGCAACACTCCACACCCAGGACACTTTGGGGTACACCAGGTTTTTCGGGCTAGCCAACTTCCCAGTGCCTTAAACATTTCCTAAATGATTTAAGGAAGAAGGTTAGAAGAATTTGGACATACTTGTTGGGATATTTGCGGAAGATGTCCCTGATGACAACAATCGCCTCTTGAACCACATAGTTTACTTTGGTCTGGATTAGATCAAGCAATGTGCTTACGCATCGCTCAGCAGATTGCTAGAAAAAGGAACATAAAAAATGAGAAGTCAGATGATCTATCTAATAATACTACATCAACATAACAAGATTTGAAACATACAGATGCATTGATTTAATGATCAGGCACTTAATTTCAGCAAACTACTGTAGAGACTGAACTATAAAACGTTTATCTACATCAGAAGTTCTAGATACACACCAAATTTTATTTATTTATTTATTTTTAAATTGGTGCCAGGGATTAAACCCAGAGGTGCTTTTCCACTGAGCCATATCCCCAGCCCTTTTAATATTTTATTAGAGACAGGGTCTCACTGAGTTGCTTAGAGTCTCGCTAAATTGCTGAGGCCAGGTTTGAACTCGTAATCCTCCTGTCTCAGCCTCCTGAGCTGCTGGGATTACAGGCATGCACTACTATGTGCCTGGCTAAGTGATAGGTTTAAAGAAAACAGTGTCAGGGCTGGGGATATAGCTCAATTGGTAGAATGCTTGCCTTGCATGCACAAGGCCCTGGGTTCAATCCCCAGCACCATTAAAAAAGAAAGAAAGAAAGAAAACAATTTCAACACATATCCTAAAAATTAAAGACCAATCTATCAAACGTTACAAACGTTTTATGGATCACCCACAATGTGATTCCTAATGAGACACCAAAAGAAGTATACAGCATTGCCTAAGAAGTGTTCTTGTCAAAAACCCTTAACATGTCTAGGCACACACCTGTAATCCCAGGAAATCAGGAGGCTAAAACAGAAGTACCACAAGTTTGAGGCCATCCTCAGCAACTCAGTGAGGCCCTAAGCAACTTAGCAAGACCTTTCTCAAAATAAAAAATATAAAGGGTTGGGGATGTAGCTCAGTGGTAAAGCCCCTGGGTTCAATCCCCAAATCCCTGGTATCCCAAAAAGAAACAAACAAAAAAACTCAACATGAATTTTACCAAGCCTCTAGATTTAAATATTTTAAGGGGCTAGAGAAATGAGATCAATAAAATCACTAATATATAACAAACCAAATTCAGCCTCTGGGAAATTCTGTGAGCCTTCAATAAGTAATAATTCCTCATAAGGGACACCAAAATAAGTAAATAAAAGACTTAAAAGACATATTAACCCAATGTAAGGTGTGGACCTTGCTTAGATTTTGATTTGAACAAGCCAAATATAAAAGATAGTCTGATGCTAATTAGGGGAAATTAAATATGAGCTGGTCATTCAATAAGATTAAGAATTATTTTTAGTTTTGGGGAATGTCAATTTTATTGTGACATATTTTTTGCTTGTATTTGAGATACTGGGACTTGAACCCAGGAGTGCTCTTCCATTTAGTCACATCCTCAGACCTTTATATTTTTGAGATGGAATCTCCCTAAATTTGCCCAGGCTGACTTCGAACTTATGATCCTCTTGCCCCAGCCTCCAAAGTAGCTGGGATTACAGTCATGTGCCACGGCACCCAGCATAACAATATTTTTTAAAAGAACCTAATCCTGCTAGACATGGTAGTACACAACTATAATCCCAGCAGGCTGGGAGGCTGAGGCAGAAAGATTACAAGTTGCCAGCCTAGGCAACTTAGACCTCGGTTCAAAAAAAAATGGACTAGGTAAAGTGCCCCTGGGGTTTAATCCTCAATAACAAAAAAAAAAAGAGCCTTCATTCTAGTTGGATGATATCTGCTGCATTAAAATAAAATAGTACCTCTCACCCTTGAGCGGGGAGGGACATCAAGAAGATAAGAGACACAGAATATTTCCTTAATAAAATCTTCTAAAAGTCCTATAATAATTTACCCCAAGCAAAAATGTAATAAAAATGCTAGGTAGACGGCAGCACACCTGTAATCCCAGCAATTCAGGAAGCTGAGGCAGGAATACAGCAAGTTTGAGCACAAAGTTGGTAACTCAGGGAGACCCTTTCTCAAAATAAAAAAAAATAAAAGACGACTGTTATTTCCTGTGGTGGCACACACTTGTAATCCTAGCATCTCGGGAGGCTAGCCTCAGCAACTTAGCAAGGCTCTAAACAATTTAGTGAGACCCTATCTCTAAATTAAATATAAAAAGGGCTGGGGATGTGGCTCAGTGGTTAAGCACGCCTGAGTTCAATCCCTACTATCAAAATATAAAAATAATAAAATTAATAAAAAAAATTCATGTTGAGTTTTTTTTTGTTTATTTCTTTCTGGGGTACTGATGATTTGGGGATTAAACCCAGGGGCTTTACAACTGAGCTACATCCCTAACACTTTTTATTTTTTATTTTGAGAAAGAGTCTTGCTAAGTTGCAGAGTATTCAGTAGCAAAGCACCCCTGATTTCAGTCCCTAGTACTGAAAAGAAAAAGAAACAAACCTTTAATCTACTAACTATGTGCTTTATTATTTTGATAAACTTTAAAAATATATTTCAAAGAGGGGCTGGGTTAGAGCACTTGCCTAGCACACATGAGGCACTGGGTTTGATCCTCAGTATATCACATAAAAATAAATAATAAAAGATATTGTGTCCATGTACAACTAAAAAAATAATAATAATTGTTAAAATATATGTTTTAAAGAGAGGAATGAAAACACTCAGAAACACAAAATTTGTGATTTCAACTTCCATTGGACACATACCTCCACCTTAATGGCACATCGTCCAATGGCCCGCACAGCTTTTCGAACAAAGTCCACATCTACCTCAGTGGCATATTCTTTCAGTTCTGCCAGAACCTGTCAAATATTGAGGAAGTGGGTAATAAATAAGGATTCTAAAATAGCAACCTCACTTCTTCTGAAGGCCAGACCTTAAGGTCTAAGTCATCATACATTTGAGACTACTTAAAGTCTGACCTGAGCAATGTTGGCTTGGGATGCCAGACGAATCATAATGTCCAGTTTCTCTAGTTTAACATAGATGGGATCATTGTACTTTACAAAGAAGACTTTTATTTCCTGCTTTAAGATTTCAGGCCTGTGGAACACATAAACACAAAAAGGGGAGGTAAAGGCACATATTTATTGATATATCCTTCTGAGTCTGTATTAAATCTGTACCTCTTCCCATTCCATCACCCAGAAAAAAAAAAACTTAAAAACTTCCTCTACTTTTTCTTTGCAATGCTGGAAATCAAACCCTGTTGTTCTGCTATATAACATTTTTGTTTTCACATATTTAAAAAAAGATTAACAATGACCTATCAAATATTGATATTAAACTTATTTCAAAATTACAAACACTTTAATCACCAATTCACTATTTCCAACCTTTTTTGGACAATTAGGTTGATGTTCCTCAGGGCAACATATTGCACTTCTGGCTCCCCAGATAGCAAAGTGACAAGGGGAGGAGCTAACTTCTTCAGCAGCATATTATAGTAGTCAGAATCCTTGGGTAACAACTCTAGAAACTTCATTAGGACTTTCACCGCTGAAAGCACCACGGCCGAGTTGGCATGGGACAGCCGGGGAGTTACCCGCTCGCAGATGCTGAGGGCAGAAAAGGAAAATTAATACCTTAGGTTGTAATTTCTTTGCTCAATCCATTTTATGAGGTAATGTTCAGAATCCCATGGCCCAGGTATCAAGAAATTAAAGAATCAGTTAGAAAAGTCAAATCTCCATGCTTAGTCAAATGGGGGTCCAACACTGCAGAAGCTTCATTCCCAGAAAACTACAGGCAGAGCAGGGATATCAGAAGACATCAGGAAACCAGCAACAGGGAATGTTCAAACTGGAAGGAAATTAGTGATACCCCAAACACTTGAGCTCATGCCATTTACCTTCTGGTTTTATAGTCCTCTTTTTGTCTCCCCATATTATGTTAGGGCTCCCTGCCTCACAGCCCATTTCTACTCAACCTATAAGAAGTCAAATTAAGCATTCTGAGAGTTATTTCGTAGTAAGAGACAACAACGCACTTGTGATTTAAGGTTTCAATGTAAGATAGAGGAGAGGAGTGAGCTGGCAAGAAAAACTACCCAACTCATGCCTCAGGATAATAAGAAAAGTTCTGATTTTTTTTTAAATATCAGAACATCATTGTAATATTCTCCCAACTTCTTCCTCTTCTCCTAGTCCCTGCCACCTATGCATAGATGCCTCATGAAATATTGGATATTTAATTATCTATGCACTGTTCTCAGAAACTAACCTATTTTTGATAGTAAGCTAAGGAAAGTTATATTGTCCAGAACTATCTATATTAAGGATACAAGATATGCAGGCTATGTTATTCTCTCCTATACCTACTTGGCTGATTACTCACTTCCTCCTGGTTTTCATACACATATCACCTTCTCAGTAAGCCTTCTCTGACTACTCTTCTTAAAAACTACAATCCCTCACCTCCAAATGCCTAGCATTTCTTAATCTTTTCCTTTCTTTGTTTTACTTGCTAGCACCTATCACCATCTGACATATTACATATTGTATCGTATTATGCATATTATACACACTCCTACACCCATCCCTCAGAATAAATCCTCCATGAGATCCTGCTGTATCCTTGGAGCCTACAGAGTACCTATCATACAGCATGGGCTGAATATTTGCTGAGTGAATGCATGGATGAGTGTTAATGTCAATAACCAACAAAAAATAATATTCTAAGTAAAGTTCTTTCCACATTTTGTACTTTCAATGATGGAAGAAAACTATTGGAGGTGTTAGTTAAGTCCACAGGGAATAATTTCCTGGGGAACTGAAGAGCGTTTACATTCTAATAGCTTGGAAATCAGTTTCAGCCAAGCAAGGAAGGTTCTTATTTAACATAATTAAAATGTCAACTTTAATGAAGAGCCAGTGTTTCTTCAGAAGTATCTGCCTAGTACACTGCCTACACACACAAAATGCTCAATAAAAATTGGTGATAAATAAAAAATATGGATGTGTAGATGAATTCAGTAGTCATTTCTAACAGTAAAGGAAAATCTGTAACACTAAGGAAATAAAGGGCTAAAAAGATCAAGATGTGATTTCCAAAATCTCCAAATTCAACTGATATGATTTCTATAGGTAATGGGAGGCAGCATATATTTTGCTGACTTTAACATGCTTTTTCTAGTACTAAATTATAGGTATAGTTCAGTTAAATAACTATAGTATGAAGTCACTTACTATGTATCAGAATGAAAAGTGTTATCACTGCAGACATTCAATAACCTTTTATTTGCCAAATGGCTAGGAACTAAGACATGGGAGACAATGACGAGGGAGGTTTAGCAAAGGTACTACTCAAATAAGAAATGAAAAGCATACATTTCTTAGAAAGTGTTATTTTTGGCATGGTTTACTCGACAACCTAGAATGTTCCTGAATTCAGTGAGAAAATGTTTTGGGGATAACAATGTCTACCCCACATGTCCCTCAATTTCCTCAATCATAAAGACTATGATTCTAACAGTAGAAACTATAACTTATTGAATCTGGCAAGACTCTTAGCTATTATCCAGGAAAACAGACTGACCTCTGAGCTTCCCGATCATCTTTAGGGTTGTAATTAGACAGGCAGTCCAGGATGAAAATCTGGCCCCATTCTGTGCACTCATTTAGAGCTGTCAGCAGCTTATTAATGTTCTGAGGATTCAGATCAAGTAAGTTGCTGTTTGGGTGAGACTCACTGATTTCAGATAATGCTGCCACAGCATTAGCCACCACCTGGGAAACAAACAGATATGACCTTGATGCACCCAGAACAGCACAATGATATCCAACACTTATTCAACCTTTGCTGGATCACTTTGTAGATCTCAACTCATAACCATTCCTGGACATTTTATCTAGTCAGGCAAATACACATATTTTTAAATATATTTTTAATATATATTTTTAAAACATATAAGACACCAGTAATAATATATATATATAGCTTCCTAGTGGTCAAGGCAATCCAGAATTATATCTATTAGCAGAGTCCACATTTTTTATTATAAAAATGTACATTAACTATTCTAATAGTACTCAAATTATAAAGACATACTAACAGCCATAAAAATGAAGTCTAAATAAGAAATATATATATCAAATAATGGGAAAATCTAGGTCAGTTTTTTTTTTTTTGGGTATTGGGGATTGAACTCAGGGTGCTTTGTCACCAAGCCACATCCCTAGCTCCTCCTTTTTTCTAAATATATTTATTTTTTAGTTGTAGCTGGACACAATACCCCTGTTTTATTTGTTTATTTCTATATGGTGCTAAGGATCGAACCCAGAGCCTCCCACGAACTAGGCGAGCGCTCTACTGCTGAGCCACAACCTCAACACTCTTTTTATTTTTATTTTGAGAGGGTCTCACCAAGTTACTTAAGGTCTTGCTAAATTGCTAACACTGGCTTTGAAAACTAATGATCTCCCTACTTTAGCCTCCCAAGTCACTAGGATTACAGACATGCACCACTGCACTTGGCTCAGACCAAATTATTTTATAGGTGTGTATGCATAATGGGGAGGTGATAGTGTTGATCATAGTACAGGTCTTGTAGTAGGAAAAGGTGGACTTGAGACCAGCTGCTAATAGAATATATAACTCTGAAGATTCGGTTTCCTTGTCTGAAAACTAGGGAAAACTGAATCCATCTCACAGATTAATTAAGTTTGAGAATAAAAAAATCAAATGACATATGTAGAAGTGCTTTAGATAGTCTTATACGAATTTAAGATGGTTATACTTCCATAGTTCATCAAGTATAAGTTATAGTTTTTCACATTAAGATCTCTGAAATTGGTATGCATTTTACAATCAATGGCCTGGCAGTTTAAGAGAAAACTTTTCAGGGTAGAGATTTAGCTCAATGGTAGAGAGCTTGCCTAGCATATGTGAGGCCATGGGTTCAATCTCTAGTAACACAAGAGAAAAACAAAAGAAAGAAAACACTTTTCTTTTCTAGTAATACAAAAAATAATCATGCATCTTATAATCAATGAAACTGTAGACTCAATGAACAGTATTCCAAATATATCCTTGTTTCAGAGAGTACAGTAAATTAAAAATTGCTATCCTAGGTAAGAAAATACACCTTCATCTGAACTCAAATTTGTGAATTATGTAGTTACAAGATGAAGTCAACACTCTATCAAAATTAGATTATTTCTAATATAACTAAAAAAATCTATAATCAATGAATATCTAGTTATTAAAAATTTAAAAAAAACTCAAAATCTCACAAAAATATTATCCTACAGCCATGAATAAGCGAATTTTAAAATGTTTTATAGTAAGAATCCAGTGTTACTAAAGATTAACAAGGTGAAGCTGGATATAAATCTGCTCAAGTATAATGACACAACAGGGCTGGGGTTGTGGCTCAGTGGTAGAGTGCTTGCCTAGCATGTGTGAGGCACTAGGTTTGATCCTCAGCACCACATAAAAATAAGTAAAATAAAGGTATTGTGTCCATCTACAACTAAAAAAAAATTTTTAAATGACATGACAGCTTCAGCAATCATATATATATATATATATATATATATATATATATATATATAT